CTTTATATCACTGGTAAAAGCAGCAATAAACACTCTTCCCTAACTGAGCAGCTTATGGCCGTGAGCACCGTGGCAAGGCCTAGCCGCCGGGGCAGTCCTGGGGGGCGAGGGCTGCTCCGCATCCCCCCGGCCGCAATGCCGTCGGGGTCCCTACAACCAAGCGCCCGGGAGGGAAGGGCCCTGGCCTCCCGCTTCTCCAGCCATCCCAAGAGCCAGCCCACCCGCAGCCCTGGGGAGAGCCTTCGGGAACCCGGCCACTGCTTTCCCGAGTTACCGCCTCCCAACACCGTGCTCCCGCTAGGGCCAAAAACCAGCCCCGAGGCGTGCTGCTGGCGGGGCGAGGACGAGGAGGAGCGATGGGCTGCGGGGAAGAACAACCTCGAGGCTTCAGCCTGCCTGTCGCCACGCTCTGGGAACAAGCCGCTGCGGGAGCTGCTGCCCACAGAAACCCCCCTGCACCCCCTGCTCTGCTTCCCCCAGGCCCCACCGCTGCCCTCGCCTGTCCCCCGCGCAAGCCACGTGCGGACCTGGCACCTGAAGTCTTTGCTCTTTAATAAAATACGGAAGGGGGAAGCTCAATGGGACAGCCCCCGAGCACTGGGGAACCTGAGCTGCAAAAAGAGTTAGGCGTAGCTTATGGATCTCTTCAGCACATCTCTTACCCAAGCCACTGCTCTCCAAAAACCAAAATAACTAAAAAACCTCCAGAAGACAGCCAGCCTGGAAAATACCGCGGTCAATCGTGAGAAGGATTTCTCTATCGGGGCGGAAAAAACCAGTCCATGCTCATTCCTGACTCTGGCAAACTTCTAACGAAGCCAACAGGAGGGCTGCACCGCCCCGTGCTAGGGGGGTTAAACACTGTGCCCGCGGGAGTTACCCGATGGCCTTTTCTTTAAGGAAACTTTTAAGTTCTAGCACTATTTATTTTACACCCAACCGATGAGCGAAACCCCCTAAACTTCCAACGGAGACCCACAACCAACCGAGAAGAGCGAGACAGAGGACATCGGACTCTCTGCAGTTCTTCTCTGTCCTAACGTGCTTTTGGCCAGCTCCGACTCTTACTTCATCTTTCCATTAGGAAAGGTAACAAATCTTCCCGACACCCCTTTCGCCCTCTCTGCCATGACAGCATTTAGGCCTGGCAAGCTCAGCCTGCCGGCTTTTCCCAGGGAGAAGACTCCTGACCATCACCGCTGCGTCGGCCGCGTTCCCTCCCTCCCTCCACGGGACTGACGGACGCTCCGTCCTGCGTGACAGCCACCACGGCTTTCTACTCCCATTTTCTCTTCGATCTATTCCACCTGCCCCTCTTTTTGTGGTCCTCGTTCCCCTTTTCCATAGGTTCCAACACCGCATCCCCTGTCACACAGGAGACCCTGAGCAGCAGCATCTCAAACCGCATCACGTATCTAGAGCACGGGGCACCCATGGTACGAATTTAGAGGTGGTAAAATCAAGTCCGAGGGCATAGTGGTCACTAACGAAATGAAAACCTGTGTGAGAAGAATGGATGAGAAATGGAAAGAACAGCAAGTAAAATACTGAGGCAGAGGAGGTCACTAATCAAAACATACCAAAGAGTGTAAGGGACCTTCATAATTGGGAGATGATGACGCTTGACCTCCATTTCTAGACCAAACAGCTGTGCCTGCTAATAGTAAAATTGGAATTACCATTAGAACTATGCAAACAAAAATGTCTTTCAAACTTTTTGGACAGTTTTGTAGACATGTAAATGCCGTATTCCAGATAGACTATAGAGCAGACATATGGAGAACTTCCAAAATACACACGGATGAAAAAAAAAAAAAGGTACTTTGTAGCAAAGCACGTAGATGCAGGCCACAAAGTTCCCCCAGGCTGCTCCTCCGCATAGAGGGCTGCATTCATTCGGCAGCTGGAGCCGCGCGCGGAGGAAACGTCTCGGTGGTGGAAGGAGAAGCGGCGCTGCCGCGGGGCGCTGGGGCGGGGGGCCCCTGCCCCAGCCCAGCAGCCCCCGGCCCCTTCTCCTCGCCTTGCTTCCAGACACGCTCGGTGCCACCGATTACGTCATCCCACCATCAAATTTACAAAATCTTAAAAAAAAGAAGTCAGTAAAAGCACCGCACACAACATTCACGTAGACGCTGATAAGGTTTGCGCTCTCTTTGGGCAGATTATTTGCCTTGGCCCAGCGAGACCGCCAAAGGTCTGACCGAAAACCTTCTGGTTTGTATCGCTGCTCTAAATCTGTTCCTGCTGCTGCGGGAAGAAAAAGGGCTCCTGGGCTCCAGCAGCATTTTCTAAGGAAAAATTTGCCCTCGTGAAAGAGGCAAACGTGGGGAAAAGAAGTTTTTTTCAAGTGTTTTCCCGACAGCTTTTATATATATAGCACAACGCTCAGACAATTTATAATGTTCTTTTGAGCGAGTGATCTTCTGAATGATCTCATAAAACGGGGTTAAGAATTGGAGATGGAAATATTAGGGTTTTGATCTTAACGTCTATGTTGAGTGGCATTTGCTGGGACTGAGACAGGCCAGGGTGGAACTCATGGCAATTTTTTTTTAGGCTCTTACGGTTAAGGTTTTTTTTCCTCATAAAAGTAAAAATTATGTCAGTTCTAATTAAAACTTAAATCTTCCCTTTTCTGGTCCCCATGGAGCTTTTAGTTGAGGTCTTGCTACAGCGCTGAATGAAGCAACAAGCAGCAATCTTTACTTTCAAAATAATTTTTAACTAGCCCTTGATATCCTTGAGGGAAAGCGTCTTGCATGCTAAACACTTTCAGCTCTTATTTAAATGCACTTATACTCCTTATTTCTATTTATTTTGACACTGGGTTCTCCTTATTTACCCAGTAGAGCCTGCAGAAAGCAACGCAGCCCAAATTCGCCTGGGATTTCTCTCTCTGGCTCGGCCCCTTCCGCCGGGAAGGAGGGCAGCGCCTCGCTAGGAGGAACGCAGCCCGGCTGCCAGGGGTGCTACCCCTCGGGGGCGATTCCGGGCAAAATAAGGGCAGAAAGTCCTTTTTTGAGGTGCCCCCTCAGGCTGTGACAGGCCAGACGGTCCCTCTGTCCCCCACCCCCTGCTAGGGGTGGCTTTGTGGGGACATTTGTTGCCTGGATGTCACCCCGGTGTTACGTCCTCCCTCACAGCAGGTGAGCGTGACGGAGGTGGACATGGTGTCCTCCTGGACCTCGTCATGCAGCGGCCAGCCCAAGCTTCTCTCTACCCCTTCGTCCAAAAGGCTCTCCTCACTGCAGAGCTGCTCTTAGGGCTACGTCTCTGAGGCTGGGGCACCATTTTAAAGGATCGGGAGCCCAGGAGCTCCCTCCACCTCTGTCGTGCTACTCATGCCCCACGGGGAACGAGGGGTGAATCACCCCTCTCGCCAGCGCTGCCCTAGGGAAACCCGGCGACCTCGGCTGCCTTGGAGGACTCCCGGTGAGGTTAACAGGATCCAGGGCTCAGGCACAGAGAAGAGCAGACCGGGGTCTTTGGTTATGTGTGATATGGACCTCATCTCAAAGAGGGACGGGAAGCCAAGAGGCCTTCTCCACGGCGTGGGAGGAGAAGCCTAATGCTCTAGCCGAAAAGTCTCGGGGTTTAAGAAATCTGAATTATATTCGGGTAAACATTTAAAACACCTGATGCTCATGAGAACTACCCTGGGCCTCTGCATCTTTTCAGTTTAGGCTTTTATTAGTAAAGTGGGTCTAGTTAAAATATGCAGTTATTATAAACACCAGTATAAAATGAATCAACCGGATTCACAGGGGCTCAGCTTGTCCAGAGACATATTTTATGGATCAAACAGGCTTTCGCTTCAGGCCCGGGAGGGGACGGGGGAACACAGAAGGAGCTGCGCCTGGCACGGCCACCCTGGAGCGAGGCTGCCGCGAGGGCCTGGGTGTCCCTGCACGGGGGCACGGCCACGGCACGGGGACCCGCTCTGCGCAGGGCAGGAACCGTCTGCCGCGAGACCCCGAGGGCACTGCAGGAAGCCGCAATAAGGTTTTGCGCAACAAGCGCATAAACCCACTGCTTTTCTGTAAATGCATCCGCCTGAGAGCTGCCACGACCTTCTCTCTGCACTGGCAATCCAGCGTGGAGGCCACCTCTCCGCTCGTCTCTGTGGGACCACCAGCCACCTGCACGTGCTGCGCAGCAGCGCGGGAGCCGCCTGGATGCACCTCTCACACCCAGTACCGTAGGAGCTCATTTAGGCATCTCCTACCAAAAATAGGTTGTAACGTTCAGTAAAATAGAATTGTAACAACAATACCTGAGAGAGAAGGGGGAGAACCAACAGGAGTTGAAGGATTTGATGAAAAGCTGTTGTTGGTGTGATCTGGAGAATAGATCTTTAAAAGATGATACAGAATTAATCTAAAGCCATCACAAACTGATGCAGAAAGAAATATGGAATTCTTATGCATTCAGTTCATTTAAATGAAAGCAGGACAGGTTAAAAAGCCTCTTATTCAAATATTAATATTTGTATAAAGACAAAACTGTATTAGATGCAGGAAGCTAGACAACAGACCCCTTTTGACGGGAACAGACACTAGCCAATTAAGCGATGGTTTCTGATTGTCACACGGATCTGCTACGGTAGATATACACATTTTCATTGCATAGACTACTTTACGAATGAGGGTCATTAAACAAGGCCTTAAAGCACGCCTGAAAATTGCTTTTTTGTTAGGCTGAAATCCCTTAACGGCCAAAATAAAGCAAAGGGAGCAGAGCACGTTAAACCCTGGCACAGCGGGTAATCCGCAGCGGCAAACTCCAACTACTGGTCCGCTGCTCCGGCGAGAAAGCCCCCGCGTGCCCCGTGCCCGGGCGAGGGGGCCACCGCCCCGCGGCGGCCCCGCTCACCACCCGTGCCATTTGTCAGGGCACCACTTCAAAGTGGATTCTGTACTGTATCAGTTATTTCAGGCAAACTAGAGTCTGACTTTTCGTCTTTTTCAATGAAGCATCGAAGAATATGCAAAAAAAAAATTAACTCTCATGAGAACTCAATGGAACCCACTCTGCCCAGAAAATAACTATAGTGGTCCTTATTAAAAGTCAGTCCGTGCCAACTGGTACCGCAGCGGTAGCTGGGGCACGGCAGGCTTTCCTCCCGCTCCGCGCTGGAAAACTGCCGTGCCCCAGCTCCCCAGGTAAGAGGTGGTAACCGCTGACTTTAACAGCAACCACAGTAACTGAATCGGTGGAAACTGCCATGAAAAACAGAAAATCTACAGGCAAATTCAAAAGGAATCCTGTTTGCGGATGGCTCGGTAGTGCAGAAATCATCCTGCCACTGGGTTCTGTTCGGACCTCCCTCGCCCGAGGAAATGCAGTGTGTGAAAGCCTAACAGACACGGCTCCTCGGCACCCAGCCAACGTGGCCAGGTGAAGGCTGCCCCTCTTTCCACTTCTATTCTACCGTAAAATTAAGGCTAAAACTTTTTAAACACCATTTTGCACTGATTGTTCGATATTTCGGTTGGCAGTAACTCCACGCGGGTGACCTCTGAGACCAGATCTCTCCCGTTTGCTGTTCATCTTCGCAAACTCCAGGCGTCCAATTCTGATTAAAGTTCACACTTTCAAAACGGTAAACGTGTATTCCAAAGTAAATATTTCCTTACAGAGGCAAGTGCTTTCCCCAGCGCATCACCAGTCTGCGAGCTGCCTGCTGCCCCACTTCCTCTGTTTGCTGAAAAACAAAAGACTCGATGTAAAAACAGACAGAGAGACATCATACACTTCTATTCCTGGTCCACTTCCTCATAATTTAATTGCATTTTAATGCTAATTACATAAAATTAATCTTTAATTACCATTAATTTGTTTGCTAAGGTAGATATCAAACACATCATGCTCCATTTTTGCAGATAAAATACAAACTTGACATGCTGGTTTTTTCTTTTTTAAATACATTGCATATTTCATAGGACTTGGCCGTATGGCTTTACTTTTTCTGAACGAAAACGCTTCTAATAGCAGAAGATGCTCAAAGATATGGAAAATAAGCAAGCGCAGAGCAAGGCAAGCCCGCGGCGAGCCGAAGCCTGGGGCTGGGGAAGGGCTCCTGCCTCCCCCGCCCCGCGCACCTGTCTGTGCTCCAGGATGTGCAAACCCGCTCTAACCAAGGTTTTCCTCTTCAAAAACTCTAAGGCACTTGGGGCAATATTTCACATATAAAACGTCAAAAATCTACGGCAGGGGAACATTATAAAGGCGGCGAAGGCAAACTCCCCGGAGCCAGGAACACCAGAGCTCAGCCCCCTTTCTCCCTCTGCGCCTGCCCCGGGAGCAGCCATTAATTCCAGGCGCTGGCCGCGCTCCCGGGCGGCCCCAGCCTCCCTCGCTGCCAGGGAAGGACAAAGCACCGCTCGTAAGCGGCTACCCGGTATTTTGGGTTCTCCTCGTTCACTTTGTGACCCTGCTCCTTTGTATACTTCTCAATGCACGTTTTAAAGACGTTATGAAATTCCACATGGGCTTTTCCAAAGTGTTCCCTCTGACTGCACTTGAACATTTCACGAGCATTTAATGAAATGATTTTTCACCATCTCTCAGGTGATGGGATTGCGTCTGTTACATAGGAAATTTAGGGCAAGAAAAATCCTGGTGTAGCAGGGCACCAGTTTCTCACGCTCAGGTGATGGGATTGAAACTTCTCTGTTACGGGAGAAACTGAAGAGAAGAAAAATTAGGGCAAAACACCCCACCAGTTTCAGCATCTCTATGTCCATTTATAAACTAAAAGCGCTGTTTTGGCTGACTGCTGCCCGTGATCAATACTTCTGCATTCATCTGCGAGGACCCTAAGTCAGGCGGCCAGAAAATGAGAAACGAGCAGTCAGTAACCACCCGGGAAAGCCTGGATTAATGTCTGGAATGCGAGGGCTGAGGCGGGAGCGGATCCCGTATCGCAGCGGGGTTTGAAGGGCGTCAGTCCCCCCGTCTCCCTGCCAAGCCCCGTGGTGGGCTCTGCGCCGTGGGGCCAGGGGATCCTGTGCCCGGAGGAGTTCAGGAGCAAACCCACCCCCGGCTCTGAGCCCAGGGCGTCCCACGGGAAAAGGAGTCAGGGACCAAATTGCCCACGTTCGTACTACAAAGTGCAAGCACAGGCACGTTTTTGGTCGTTAAAAAGTAATATTAAAAAGTCTCCTCCAAGTTTCACCCCAGCATTATGCAGTTAAATATTCAGGGCACGGGAAGGAGCAGGGTTGGATCCATTCCACAGCTCCTTGATTTGGCCACTGGTGTAACCCCAGTCACAAATAGCTGCGTGTCTGGGGACCAGCATCCAAAGCAGACGAGCTGATCTGCCTCTGGATGTTGCAGCTCCGCAGCAGCAGCAGGGAAATCTGAGCTTCGGGGCCCTCCCTGCTCCGAGGGGTGTCCTGCCATGCCCCTTCGGAGCAACCTTTCTGCTCCACCTCCTCCACTTCCCACCCTGAAAGCGTTTCTCTCATCCGCTGTCTCCATTTAGCTTTTCCTAGCCTCCATCCCTTGCCCCTCTCATCCCAGCCTTCCTTGCTTCGCAGTTACCCCATCCCTGCTGTCAGAGGTATCAGTTATTGATCCCCCATCCTGCCTAAGCCCCAAATTTCTAGCAGCAGCATCAACAGGGTCTAGTTAGCACAACTTAAGGAATGGCACAGAACAGCATTCTCCTATTTCTCGCATGCAAGGTGCATGTTATCAAATTGAAGAAATGCAGCCTCTTTACATTTAGCCCGACTGCAGAACTCGGACGTTTCAGCATTTCTCCTACAGCGGACTCCTCTGGAAAGGCCTCAAGGACTACGCGTGTCCCAGATGCCGTTGGACAAACCTGTACGGTGCGGTTTGCAAGTACATCTCTGCTTACTCCTTTTTTCCCCCTTTTCTTCATTGAACTTTTATTATTGTATACTTGAAAATGTGCTCATCTGCCAATGACAGCTTATTTGCGATCTCAGCTCAGTTTGAAATTAGGCATCGAGATGTATAAAGAAAGATATATAAAGGAACGCGAAGACAGATAGAACAGGCGGTGTCAGCTAGAGATACAACTTCTCAGGGTAACTTCATGTTCTAAATCACAACCTAAAGGTTTGCGACTTGAATAATACCGGGCAGATGTCCAGAAATTCAGTTACTCCGCTCTAAAGTGAACTGTGAATCTAAATGTAAATCATGCATTGTTTTTTCCTTTTCCTAAGTGACTCTAACTAGATTATTCTAAAATTAAGTCCTCCATTTGTCTGTCTGAAGGCTGGTTTCTCCAAATGAGACGAGCTATACTGGTCCTGCGGGAGAAGCAAAGGCAGGGACCGCAGTCTTGCTCCACATGCTCTTAGGAACCTGACAGCGCGGAGCTGGGCCACGTATTATATTAGTCACCACTAAGAACAAAGGAATTCTTCAGATATACTGAATATTAAACTTTTCCTGGAAGACTTTGAAGACAAATTAATGCGGTAGGCCTGGAAAACATACAGGGAGAGCCTCAGGGATGGGCAGCAGTGTGCAAAGCTCCCGTTTGCAGAGGAGAGGAAGGCTCAGTGGGAAAGGGATGCTTGAAAAGCAACAGAGTAGAGGTTTGTAGCGTGGGGAAGGCAAGCTCGCACCATTATTTGTCACTGTCCCTGTATAAAAACTGAAAGTCACCCATTAAAACAAACCAAACAAAGTTGTTTGTTTTTTTTTTTTCCAGTAGTGTCCAGTCAGATGGGGAAACTCGTTGCTTTAAGGTATGCAAAGACCAAATGTATAAATAGATTTAAAAAGAACTGGACAAATTCATGAAGAACATCCATTTTGGTAATGTAAGGGACACGACTGAAATCTGTAGGTGACTAAAGAAAACCCCATATTTGAAGGAAGAACAGAAAAATAAAGTCTTAAGAAGAAACACGGCAAAGAGCCTCTGCTGCAAGAGCCCAAAGATTTCAGGAGCAATGGGAGAAAACTAACATCATCCCGGGACCGGGCACTACAGAAGTAAGAACCAGACCTCACGTGTAGGAAAAGATACGCAGGCTATCACTACAGAGAACGGTAATGTACAGTGCTGCTTTCCACAGGGAACGGCTATGGAACATACTCAACTGTTTCTATCGATATCACACGGTTGTTGGCCCATCGCTTTGCCACCGGCTTCAGTGAAACGCTATTTAAATACAGCTGCCCCAAAGGCTGAGCAGGGACAGGCTTAGCTTCGGCGTCCACTACGACTGTCCGGTTTAAACCATCGGGATATTTACCTGAGCTCCGAAAGGCACCACTGGAGAATGGAAGAAAATTTCTATGAAGAGGAGGAACTATTTGGGCTAGGCTGGGACACGCATCGTGAAGACAGATGCAGATACTCAAGAGCGCGTCCGTGCAGACCCCGCTCCTCGTGCGCGAGCGGCCGGCGGGGAAGAGTCGCGGGGAAGAAGGATTGCAGCCCAGCCCAACTGGCATCAGATTTGTCATCCTGCACCGAAGAGCAATCTGATGAAATCCGCGACGGTGCTCCCACAGCAGCCCTATAAATCTTCCCGGCAGGGGCGTTCGCAAGGTAACCTGCGGAGAGTGTGCCAAACCCCGGCTGAACGAACTCCGAAATAACTTTAGGGTCATCACGGCAGGGACTCAGACTGTCTAAAGCCTTGCTCTTCACCTCTGGGTAAAACCGATCCTCAGGTGGTTTTCCAAAAAAATACCGCAGAGTGCAGAACAGATATTGATCCTACCTAAATAAAAGGCTTTCATCACATCCAACAAGTGCTCCTCCACTTCCCTTCAGCTTTTGGAAGAAAACCGTAAGATGTACGAGTTGGCAAGGTGGAGGATCTTAGGCAAATATTTAATGCAAGTTACATGTAAGACCAGAAAAATATGTTGAAAGAGCAATTTTTAATGGCTCAAAAGTTCATATTAAGAGCTTTTTCGAGCCCATCGGAAATAAGGACAACGATGGAGAGTTGGTGGGACCTGCAAACAACCAAGATGCAACAGGAGAATTCAAGTCAAAAAAGGGTAATAGAAGAAATGCTCAACAGATTATTTTCATCTGCCTTGCCAGGGGACAGATGATATTTTACAAGGGATTAGTCAGAAAAACTGGCTCCAACTGAAGTGTCAATTTAAAGGCTGTAAAATAAATCAATAAAAAGAAAAATAAAGATGAGTCAAATGATGTTTCTAAGAGCTCTCAAGAAACTCAAACACAAAATTGTCTAACTACTAGCCGCAGTGTAAAACTGACTGCTTAGACCAGCCTAGTGCCGAAGTAAAGAAGGTAGAAAATATTAAAAACCAATACTGAAAACAAAGTTCTGTGAATTCAAAGAGCCACTAGATTTTAAATCTGGCTTCTCTACTAGGAAAGACAACAAAGAGAAATATATACATGGATAAATACACCATATTGCACAACCAATACCGCTTTTGTGGAAGAAAACATGTCTTGCAAATCTAACTTCTTTCAAAAACATGACGAGCGCATCGGTGCAGGAGATCCAGTAAATGTAACGGATTTGTAGTCTCAGGGTTCACCAAAGCCACTTCCCGAAGGCTCTAAAGAAACTAAACTGTCTTCAGATAAGAGGGAAGCGAGGATGCTATTGCAGATTATGACATGATTAAGACAGAGACGACAAGGGCAGGAATTAACAGTTAGCTTTATAAGGGAGAAGTATTACCAGCCAACTCCCAGTTGTGTAGATCTGCACTGTTCCAACATACTCATACACGGCCTGGAAAAAGACGTGGCATAGGCCGAGGTTGGGACATTTGGCAAGACCCTGATTCAGGATAACAAAACACAATCTTATGTGTTAAGAGCAGCTCTTGTAACACTGACTTGCTGGGCAATAAACGCCATAGACACATAAAAACCACCAGGCAACAAACACGGGGGGAAAAAAGCCTTATGCCATAAATACACACAAGCAGTCCAGAAAGAGGAGAAAACCTAGAGCGACAGCGAGTAATTAGCTGACGACCCGAGCTGACGGCTAAGCAGCAGAACCAGCACCTCACTGCCCCCCAAGAAAGCCCCAACCACGAGCAACGATGGGCGAAGAGCAGAGACAACCCAGAAGCCCGTTACGTCCCGCTGTGAATTCACGACACACCTGTATTTTGGATACGGAGCAAAGATCTGGTAAGTCCATCAAGAAAGACCATCAAGGTCTACAGAACAGAAGAGAAGTCAGAAAAAGCAGGGGGTGGTTCCTTTAGAGGATGAACTCAATCAGTGTGGATGCTCCAGCTTGGAAAAGCCATCGCTACAGCGGGGTAAACCCCCCTTTGGGCTACATAAACCCAAACGGGAGGGCAGAAAGGCTTTCACCTGGTGATACGGCAACATGAGAAGGAGGGAGGACCACAGCGGGTCTTGAGGGGGGAGCAGAGTCAAAACGAGAGAGGAGGGGCACTGCTTCACAAACGCGTAGCGTCGCTGCGCCAGGCCAAGCCTCCAGGAAAGGCTGGGCCACCTCATGGAGAAGAATGAACTCAAGCTTCCTAAATACTCCGAGCTGTACCCAGCACTGGAACGGCTGGGAAAAATATCATATATGCTCGCTTTGTTTTTATATTCCTCCCAAGGAAATCCTTAGAGGCTTTGCTGGAGACTGGACCGTTGCATAGATGAGCTTTTGGTCTGAACAAGACGTTTTCAAGTTCTTATGCAAAACACTGAACAACTTAGCGCAAGGAACGCCATGAAACTCCCCCAAATCTGGAAGGGCACAGTTTATCCAAGACGTTTCTGCATTGGGCTTTACTTGAATGAAGTAGCCAAATCCAGACTTCAAGAAAAATTTCAATTAATTAATCGATGGACAAAGGTTTGAGGCAAAAGCAAGGGAAGGCTCAGTGAAACTTCCAGGAAAAGAAATTAAACCAGGTAAGCGGAGTCCATCTCCACGCAGCAGGGAGCGAGCGCGCAGCCAGGGCAAGCCGTGCAAGCGGAGGGCTTCAGCGGGTTCAAAGGGGGTCAGACAACTGCATGGGCAACAGGTCCCTACACAGGCGCTTGAAGAACCGGGCAGGGATGTCCCCTCCATGCTCCCTAACGGGACAGTCCTGGGCGCTGGGGCAGTACGAAGGGCAGGAGCTGCGGAAACGGCCAGGACCACGTTTTGCCACTGAATGCTAAGCGAGATGGACCACCCGCCTAAAGCAGCAAGGCATTTCTTATCTACCTACGCTAGTCGTTATCTCCTCCAACTGGTCTAAAGGCACTTATTATTAGAGAACACGACTACGCACACGGGAGCCTGGGCGCTGGCCTCCCCACGCGAGGAGGCAGGTCTCCACCGAGACGAAGCACCAGCCAACTGTGCCATGATGCAGAAGGCAAAGATAACTTGGGGACAGGACCGTAAAACAGGGCTTGAAAACGCACCGCAAAAGCCGTCGCGTTTACTCGTGAGCTATTCCCCCACTCACGAGGCTATTAATGTACTGAGGACGTCGCGAAAGACTGCAACCTTTTGATGGATTGATTCGAACTCTGTTGAGGAGCGTGTTTATTGTTAATCTCCTAAAACTTTCTCAGCATGTTTCTGCGAAGAACAATTCTGCCCTGGAAGGCAAAGGGACAGAATGATGAAGTACAGCCTTTTCACATCCTTCTGGTGGGATTCTGATTGTAAATCTTAGATTATTGAATAAACTTCCAGGAATCTGTAACTCAGCGAGTATAATTATATCTAGCAAAGCATCTAGTGTAACTGATAGGCTGGAGCCTTCTACTAGAGAACTCCAGCCAGACTTTTTATAGTTTAAATTCTAGTACAAACTCACGCTGTTCTGATGGAATAGTGCTTTCTGAAACAGCAGACTGGAAATTATGCTTCTATGTTAAGAAGAGTGGAAAAACTTGCACCATCTCGGCATTCACAGCTGATGATCTTCCCAAATTATGAGGAAGTGACATTGCCGGATAAAAGTCATATTCTTCTTATACTGCGCGACAGTTCACCACCCTCCTGTAACTGGAAGCTTAACATTCTTGTAAAATATACAGTGCAGTATTATGTGACTGCTCTGGTAATAAAATTACTGTGAAACCAGTGCCTCAAGGGGAAATGCACATAATGTTTCTCCTGGAAAAGCTGCATGTCACAGTGCATAATGTCATACAAACAACATGTCATTAGAAGCGAAAGCAGCAAGCGGGATTAATACATGCATCAGATGGATCCGATAGACTCGTACAGCATATGCTAAAGGCGCTCTATCTCCATAACTGGTTGCTTAAACACTGCACTGCTTCAGACCTTTGAAAATAAAAAGCCAACGCTTAGCATACAATTAACCACTGCCAACGCCACCCTAGAGTCCCTCGCAAGGCTTTTCTCCCTGCTGCCTTCAGAGCTGCACGACCATCGGGGAGCGCGGCTCGCCTGCCCGAGCCCTGCGTCCCCACCCGGGGATGGCACGGCGGGGCTACGCCATCTCGCCCGGGGACCGGGACGGAGGCACGGCGGCTCCCGGCTGGGCCAGCTCCAACGGCTTTCTGGGGAAAATCGGGGAAAAACGACAGTGCGTGCCCAGACGTCAGGGGAGGTTCAGTGGTGCAGGAGGAGAACAGGACTTGCATTGAGATCCAAGAAATACTTTTGCGGCCCTCGGTTCAGATGTAGCTCAACAGTACTACTTGTTGAATATTTACAGCTGCTAAAAAAATCTGCATATCTTTGTATTGTTGCTCTTCTGATTCACACACTGGGTTTTTCAGGAGCTGATGAAAATCTGGATGCCTTTTTTACACGGGAAATTTAGGCACTTTTCCGGGTGGCTCCCAGAGGCACAGGGGCAGGAGACTGCAGTCGCGCTCCTACCTGCTTATGTCCCTCTGCAAGATTTTCCATCCCTAAACGTTACCTGTAAGGCTTCTGCGTAACTGGTGTACAGACAGCTGAATTAAATTTGACTCTATCAGACTTATTTTGAGGGAGAAAGAGAGAGTGGTTTTCCTATGTCGCGCGCACAGAAGCGGCAATACGTTGTAAAGGAAGAGCTCTCAATGGAATGGCAAGATTGAGCACAGAAATGCTATCCTGAAACGGGATACGTTTTTCCCAGACAGTGACAAATTATGAAGAGACTGTATTTAGTTTCTTCTTTGTTCAGAGACCCTGAAAAATATGATGCCCATGTGTTAATGTTTGAACCCACCCTCCATTCTTGCTGCATTAGTCCTGCTCGCAGTCATTCAATACAGAATCATGTGTGTAATCCGAAACATGTGTCCAGCGATGTGTTCCCTATTTACCAATTATTTAATTAGCTTTATTTGCTCTTTGAGATACAGGCAAAGCAATATTTTTTTATTTCCTGTATTTGAGTACGAGCCGGTATTTGCCAAATATTTAAGTACAGAGAGGTATGCTCTTAATTTACTGAGCCGCTCTCAGCATCGTCAGAGGCGGCGCTCTCCCTCACAGGGACACGCCGGCATCGCCGCTTCCCCCCCCCCACATGGAAACCCAGCAAAGAACTGAAGGGGATGAACGTCGCGATACAGAAGTTATCACCTCACGCCGCACTGCAGGCGATGAAACCACTAAAGACAATAAAATCAGACTTCAAAACCAGGGGGATCAGGCGCTTAGCTGGTGCGATGTCTTCCATACCCACTCTGAAGCAAAGCGCTTTGCTGTAATCATATTTAATTCACAAAAAGAAGCAGTAGCAGTAAAATGCACGAGCAAAGGAGGCAAAGGTCAACTACGATGTGCTTATTTCCATGAAATCCTTGCTATCTCTCTGCACCTACGGAACTAAGCAGCTAGTCCTCCCGCACGCCGCGATATACCACCGAACGACCCTCCACCTTGACTTCAGCTCTTTGGCGCTAGCGCGGTGCGCCGAAGCGGACGCGAGGGGAGACAGGAGGGAAAGGGAGAGCCTCGGGCGGCAGCCGCAGCGCCCGACCTCAACTCACCCATGATACTGTCCGTCCCGTTGGCAGGGGGTGTGCAAGAAGACGCGCTGTAATGATTTGTGCCACTGCGGTGGAAGGTGGACATCGGAGGAAGACTGGAATTGATGTCTGCTGAGGAGTGTGATGGGTAGCTCTGTGGCAAAAAGGATAAAAAAAAGAAAAGGAAATATTTTAACTGTTGAGAACACGGAAGGCAGCAGGCTGCTCAAATTGCCCCAGTCCCAGGTGCTGTCGTACTTCACCCAACCGAGAAAAGCAGAATGCTGCCCTAAGACTAAGCAGGGAGCCTATTTTTCTTACCCTAATTTGACATCTTCTGGAGGAGACACAGCATACACCTATCTGATACGGATAAATATCCACAGTGGATGGTTCATAACTGATGATGGTACCATAGAGATGTAATGAGAAGAAATTAAGAAAGGAAAGTTAGGTGACGTATCAAGCAAACCTTTTTCAGAGGGACGGCTACTGGCTGGAGGAGAAGCCTCCCAAGGGAAGTGGCAGAAACCCCGCGCTGCTTTTGACATTAAAAACAAGATCTGACTACAAGATGTGCATGGCTGGTATTACCAAACGTGCCATGAGGAAACACGCCGGCACCCCAGGTAATCAACTGGGTCAGTTTTCCCTCCCCTCGCAGCGCCTGTGCGACAGACGATCGAAAACGCGACGGATCAAGTTCTCCAAACAAGGGTGGGCCAAGCATCTGGGCAGCACACAGAAGACTCTGGTAGCTACATGGCTGGATCAACACAAACCTTCCTTACCGTGACACAACACTGCTGCGGTCAAACGTTTTGCTGAACTTGCGTTACTACCAACCTGGCTTCCATTAGTGCCGTTTGTCACTGTTGATAGTCTTGTCTTGATCAGTGTGAGACACTGTGTGCAGCCAGGTCCTAGAACATGCCCAGCTTTTATCTCCACCACAGCACTGCCCCCAGCAGAGAGGAGGTCCTGCAGAAGACCTCTGGGTTTTGGAGACTCTGATGCAAAGCCTCCTTAGAAAGAGGGGTAGCTGGAGGCACAGGGCAGTACCTGGCCCAGGATCAAGGCGCTGAAGCTAGTGCAAGATCACCTCTGTGCCCTCTGCCTCCCTAGGTGGTTCAGAGCAAGCCAGCTGAAAACATCCTTCCCTTCATTTGTACTATTTAATTACTTTTACAGGATTTCTTGTAATTAAGCGGCAAGTAACTGAATACTTGAAAGTTATCTCAAAGAATGTAAACAACATAGCCCAAACCTATTTTTCTTATCCATGGCAAAACGACCATCAACTCTGACTGAGGTCTGTATAACATTTTCAGGCTTTGACTCATTATAAACCACTCCAGGAGGACTTCAGGCCCAAACCCAACCCGCTGAAACGGCACAGCTGAACACAATTTCTCATCTGAGGGAGAAAGGAGTAAAGGAGGAGCGCTTAGGTCAACGGTCTGAGCAGGAGTGGCTCCATCTCCCCGGCCGCACGGCTGCTCCGTCACACCTATCCAAGCGCTGGTTTGGGATTTTCTCCTTTCTCAGGGGCAGACACATCAAACCGCTATTGCCAAACATTTTAGGAAAAACATGGGATCTGAATATAGCTCAGCGGAGAGCTGTTCTCTGTATTCCATGCATCCAGTTAGAAAATCACTGATATGCCTGGGAAAGTAAAAATAATAAACCAACAGCTTTTCTTTCCTTTTCTTTTGCTATATGCATTTTCTCTACAGGTCACTGAGAAGTTAAGGACATTTGCAGGGAACTGAAATCACTCAACTTCCCTCAACAAGCTGAGCACTCATGGATGCTCCTGCTGACCACAAACCGCCGACCTCTCACTGACGCTCCAGCCGAAATTAGGCCGAGTTTATTTAAAGTAGCACTGCCTCCCTTCTGTCCCAGGGCCACCTAAAACATAGAGGGCTCCGCCAGTCCAGACATACATCATACACGGTTAATACGAGCATCGTCGGCACTGAACACCTGCAACTCCAACTGGCATCAGTGGTCCTCGCTGTCTCTGAAATTTAGGATAAATGTAACAATACCTACACAGAAAAACGTTTTGGGGAGCTCAGGTGGAACACCCCTACCCGTTTTACATTGCAGAAATATTTTAACTCGTCATAAAACCCCCTACATGTTACAAAACCAAGAAATTCAGGATCGAGGTAAACTGAAATGCAACAACGTTTGCAGACTTGCCCCATGAAGGCGCTCAGCCGCCTTACCTCTACCCTGAGCTGATACCACAAAAAGTCACCTAATTCTGATGAATGAGGACCAGTGGAGATAACAAATTAGATTAAATTGGGTTTTAAAAGTTATGCTCAATTTTTATTATATATGCTTGTCACTTCAGAGCAACGTTAAGTTTGCTTAGTGCCTTAATTATGCCTTTTATAAGGACATGATTAAGCAGTTTTGGAGGCAATTTCTTTCGCTTTTGACTTCCTATTAATTTTACATAGCAGTGTGCTAACCTCGTTAAACGTGAGACTTCAAAGATTTGTTTTGCAAATGAAGTTTCAGTTTGCAAGAGTGAGTTTAATTCTTCTTATTCCCCAAAAGATGGTTCTGCAAGACTCTGCAGCAACGGACTCCTTCCTCCCTTAAAACCACTACTCCTCCTTACTCTTCCTTTTTAATGGTCTTCAAGAATGAAAAGTAGAGGTACAGAGGAGGAAAACATTACTTGTAATGTTTCATACGCTTTGAGAAAAATTACTTCACTTTAGCTGTCCTCTACCTCTCACTTAAAAACAAAACAAAACCAAAAAACCCCTGAATTGATGCAAGCCAGTGTTATTTCTACATCATCGATTCAGCTGTGATATTAGGATTACTACCCCCTAAGCCGTACTCAATTCAGTTTTAATTCCAATTTTATTCTATTCCAATCCAATAGATGGAATCGGTCCCAGCAACTTCCTCCTGCGAGAGATCAGGATGTACCAGAGAAAACAAAAAAACCCTCCCTTCTTTAAAGCAGAAAATTGATGCTAGGTAGTTATCTAAAAGCTCAGACCAGCAAAGGCCACTGACTGCCGTAAATTATAACACCAAAGAGCACAGGCGCGTGCGGCTCATCGGCAGGCTGGCGGCCACAGGACGAGCAGAGGGTACAAGCACGGGCTCAACCCTCTTCTTGCAGCTTTGGCTGAAGGAAGGGTCCGCGTGACTACTGTTTTCTCCTCTTTTCCACTTCCCAGTTGCACTAGGAGAGGTTCTTACAGAAGCGGTGACCTTCAGTGGGAACGCCTACCGCGCACAGGGCGAAGCTGCACACCTTCCTTCCCTCAGCGGAGCCTGAATAAACCCTCTACGGCCACGCTTTCTGAGATGTCTCAAACTTGGTTTGCAGAGCTGGGAACAGACATCGGCGTGCAGAGACCGTTTTAGCGGCACGACTCGAAGACATGCCCGTGCCGCGAGCGCGCTGTGCCGAGCACCGCCCGGCGCGAGCCGTGCCCCCCGCCGTGCCCGCCCCGTGCCCGTGCCTTACCAAGCGGTCGTGCGGGTGCAGGCTGCAGGAGCTGCTGGGCTGGGGGGTGGGGGAAGAGGTGGCCAGCACGCCCCCGCACCCGGGC